GGGGGGTTGTTTATTATATTAATTAATAATTATTTACTGGCAGTATACTTGCATGCTAAGTAAAAGTTATTCTATTTTAGACACGTTTCTGTCGTTTCGTCATTTAGACAGTTTGCCAATCTGTCCGTTCGACACTTTGTTCGTTCGATACTGAGTACATTCGAGACTTTGTCTGTTCGACATTTCTGGCCATTCCTCATTTAGTCAATTCGACTCTTTTTTCTCTTTGGCACTCTGTCCCGTCGACACTTTGTTCGTTCGATAATTAGACCATTCGACATTTCTGGCCTTTTCTCATTTAGTCAGTTCGACTCTTTTTCATCTTTGGCACGTTGTCCATTCGACATTTTGTTCTTTCGATACTTAGTCAATTCGACACTTTGTCTGTTCGATATTACTGGTCTTTCCTTATTTAGTCTATTCGACACGTTTTCCTGTTCGCCACTCTGTTCCTTCGACTCTTTGTTCATTCGACACTTAGTCCATTCGACACTTTGTTCAATATTTCTGGACTTTCCTCATTCAGTCAGTTCGACTCGATTTCCTGTTCGACACTTTGTCCATTGGACATTTTGTTCGTACGATTCTTTGTCATTTCGACACTCTGTTCGACATTTCTGGCCTTTGACCATTTAGTCAGTTTGACTTCTTTGCTTCTTTGGCACTTTCTCCATTTGACGTTTTGTTCCTTCGATACTTACTCAATTCGACACTTTGTTCAATATTTCTAGCCTTTCCTCATTTAGTCAATTCGACTCTTTTCCCTCTTTGACACTCTGTGCATTCGACATTTTGAGCGTTCAATATTTAGTCCATTCGACACTTTGTTTAATATTTTTAGACTTTCCTCGTTTAGTCAGTTCGACTCTTTTTTCAATTCGGCACTTTGTCCATTCGTTCGATACTTAGTCTGTTCGACACTTTGTCTGTTTGACATTTCTGGCCTTTCTTCATTTAGTCAGTTCGAATCTTTTTCCCGTTCGGCACTTTGTCCATTCGACACTTTGTTCGTTCGATACTTGGTCTGTTCGTCACTTTGTTCGACATTTCTGACCTTTCTTCATTTAGTCCTTCCATACTTTATCCATCTTCACTTTTATCTTTGACTAACTGTCCGCTTACAGTCTGATTGTCTTTAAATTAGTTTAAATATGTGTGGTGATTTCAATGTAGATTTTGTGGTGAACCCTACTGAACGGTTTACTACAACTACAAACTCTGAATGCCAAATATGCCACGTCTTCTTTTTCTCATTCCGTTTCCAAAATATTCGAACTGATTCTACATTAGTTATGGTTAGTTTAACAAAAAACATTCCAAATACTAAAAAATAAACAAGGTCATACGTGTGGTACACTCAGCTAGAATCGAAATCTGGACCGTAGCAATTGAGAATGAATCAAGCTTCCCAACCACTGGTATACATATACGGATGTTTGTTTCTTGAAACACAGTTTTCCTACTGGAGAACAAATGGATATTTTCTCAAGCCTCTTAGAGGGGGATCAAAATATACAAAAGATATTATTTCTCGTAAAGTGCCATTTCTAGAAAATGAACCGAAATCTTTATTCTCTTTCGATTTGTTATCATGCTATGTTTTCTTTTACATTTCTCGCGAATTAAAAAAATATAAAATCAGATGAGTATGATGAGTGCTTCACGGGAAATGTTGTATCCACACTCGATATGTCTTTAATGACATCCTTAAGAGAAAACGCGATTTATGTTCTTAGAGAATTTAATAAATAAAATGAATTCTGATATGGTGATAAAGATTTTATCAAAGTTTCAATTTCGTGGAAAATTGGTGTTTTGAGAAAGAAAGAGAAAAATTGAAAAACTCCAGAAAAAATAGTCAAATAAGAAAAAAAAGCTAGAAGAAATAATAAACAAATGAAAATTAAACGAAGAAAAATGAATGAAAAAAGGGATAAACAAAGGAAACAGAAAGAAAGCATTAGGAAGAAAGAAGAAAGGAAGAAAAAGAAATAGAAAGGAACAGGAAGGGAAAGGAACAGGGAAAAGAAAAAAAGAAGGAAAAAAGAAAGAAAAAAGAAGGAAAAAAGAAAGCAAAAAGAAAAAAGTACGTAAAACGAAAAAGGAAAAAGAAAAAGAAAAACGAAAGTAGAAAAAAGATGGATGATAAAGAAAAGAATGAAACAGAAAGAAAAATAAGCAAAGAAGAAAAAACGTGAAGAAGAATGAAAAAGATAACTAGAAGAAATAAAAATCAAATAAAAAATAAAGGAAGAAAAATTAATGAAAAGCAAAGGAAAGAGCAAGAAGAAATAATGAAAAAAGAATGAAGAAAAAACAAAGAAGAAAAAAGGAAAAGAAAGAAACAGGGTTGAACAGGAAGGAAAAGGATTGTGGGGAGAAAATGGAACGTAAAAAAAGAAAAAATGTATGAAAAAACGAAAGGAGAAAGAAAAAGAAAGATGGATGACAAAGAAAGAAGAATAAAAAAAGAGAGAAAAATATATACATACACTAGAGAGCATATTATTTTTAATTGGGTTCGGGAATTATTTTTTTAAAAAGAATTTGTTGGAAAACAAACCAACGTCCAAAATAAGTTTTATAGGACATGTTATTCTGACATAGAAGAATCACTTCTTACTCTAATTTAATTATTAAGCAATATCCTCTGAATCGCCATCGTTTGAGTGTCTATATAAGTAGTTTTTTGTCCATATGGCAAAGACACTACATGTCAAATTCCTGATTCCTGCGCTTTCGTGTGACTCTTGTTCATAATACATACTTCAACTTTCCTTTATATTCTTCAGGGGGATAGAATTCTAATATTTATTTGGATAGGTGAGAAGATTGATAAAATCCTAATTAGTTTACATATATGTGATCCGCTACTCCCGCCGTACATCTTGAAATTCTTGACAAAATACAAAACAGAATCCTTAATGAATTATGATCAAGCATATCGACTTCATTCACTTTCTCACCGACGGGTCGTGGCTTCCCTTTGCCTTTTCTACAAATATTTTCATGGCAACTACTCTGACGAGCTTTTGCCCCTGGTGTCCTGACTTCATGAATTTAAGCGTGCAGCTAGATTGGTATCTAGGTTCCACCTGTTTACTGTTTAAATAGCTAAGTGAAACCGCCTCGTTTACTTTAATAGTTTCCATTATCGGTACTTCCCACCTGTGGAACACTCTCCCGTTTACACGCATCTGATAACAATCTTAAAAAATTCAAATTCAATATCAATCGTCTTCGTTCGTTTTTTGTCCTCTCTTCAACCCGCTATATTGTTAGTCTTTTCTTTCAATTTCACTCCCCGTAGCACTCTGCGTATTAGGAAGACATGCTTATTTTGGGGTTGCGATTTAAATTTTTTGTAACGCAATTGAGCGATTCTCTCCAAACATTTGTCTCTGATTTGAAGATTGGAGGTTTT